TATCCTAATGAACAAGAATCCAGCTCCAGGTGAGTCTAATTATTCATTACACTGGTGTCCAGCAGACAGGTGATCAGAAAAGGGGGCGTTACTTAAAGAAAACCCCGCCCATTTCATGGGGTCAGCAATGGCACCACATGGAAGAGACATGTCACAAGGCCTGAGAAAGACTATTTCTTTACACAAGAAAGGTGACGGCTACAAGAAGATCAGCAACGCTTTACTTCTCAGTCAGAATACTGGAGCAAAAGTGATACAAACATGTAAGAAAGATGGAACTGCAACCATCTCACTGAGACGTCCAGGCCGCCGTCCGCGGAAGTGATTGGCTTGGAAGTTCACTGCCGTTAGCTTGAGAAGTATAAAGCCAACCTGGGGTGATTGTTCCCCGTGACACCATACGGCATACACTGCAGAGGAATGGCATGCATGGGTGTCATCCACGTAAGAAGCCTCTCCTAAAGCCCACCTAGAATCTGCCAGGGCCCATGATGAAAAAGAGGACGACTACTGGGACTCTATTCTGGAGTGATGACACCAAGAAATGTTTTTGGAACTGATGGCTTCATAACTGTATGGTGTCACAAAAGTGAGCAGTACAAAGACAAATGCATGGCGCCTACTGTGAAACATGGTGGTGGTAGTGTCCTTCTGTGGGCTGCATGAGTGCTGCTGGTGTCGGGGAGCTGCTTCTCATTGATGGTGTCATGAATTCACAGATGTACTGCTCTATATTGGAGAAGAAGATGACACCATCACTCCGTGGCCTCGATTGTCGTGCACTTCAACATGACGATCATCCACAACACACATCTGAGGCCACTGATGCATTTCTGAAGAAGAATCGGGGGAAGGGATTCCGGGGCCGAGTGTCTTCTGATCTGAACCCGATCCAACACCTATGGGGGACTCTGAGGGGACCAGCTGAGCATCGCTCTCCATCCAGGATCTAGAAGAGGTTGTTGTGGAAGAATGGAAAGAGATGGATGTGGCAATATGTCCCCAACGTGTCCCTTCCATGCCTAGAAGACTCGGCGCCGTCTTCACCCATCATGGAGGTCCTACTACAGAATACGTGTCCCTTCCATGCCTAGAAGACTCGGCGCCGTCCTCACCCATCATGGAGGTCCTACAGAATACGTGTCCCTTCCATGCCTAGAAGACTCGCGCCGTCCTCACCCATCATGGAGGTCCTACAGAATACGTGTCCCTTCCATGCCTAGAAGACTCGGCGCCGTCCTCACCCATCAAGGAGGTCCTACGGAATACGTGTCCCTTCCATGCCTAGAAGACTCGGCGCCGTCCTCACCCATCATGGAGGTCCTACAGAATACGTGTCCCTTCCATGCCTAGAAGACTCGGCGCCGTCCTCACCCATCATGGAGGTCCTACAGAATACGTGTCCCTTCCATGCCTAGAAGACTCGGCGCCGTCCTCACCCATCATGGAGGTCCTACAGAATACGTGTCCCTTTCATGCCTAGAAGACTCGGCGCCGTCCTCACCCATCATGGAGGTCCTACAGAATACGTGTCCCTTCCATGCCTAGAAGAATACGTGTCCCTCGGCGCCGTCCTCACCCATCATGGAGGTCTCCTACAGAATACGTGTCCCTTCCATGCCTAGAAGACTCACCGCCGTCCTCACCCATCATGGAGGTCCTACAGAATACGTGTCCCTTCCATAGAAGACTCGGCGCCGTCCTAGAAGACTCACCGCCGTCCTCACCCATCATGGAGGTCCTACGGAATACGTGTCCCTTCCATGCCTAGAAGACTCACCGCCGTCCTCACCCATCAAGGAGGTCCTACAGAATACGTGTCCCTTTCATGCCTAGAAGACTCGGCGCCGTCCTCACCCATCATGGAGGTCCTACAGAATACTCCAGAAGTTCTATTATCAACCTTCCTGTCATGTAATGAGGGGAACAAATGAGCCATCACACTGCCATCTGTCCCCATGGTGCAGATCGTTCTTGTGTTCATTCAGAGATCCATTCAATCTTACTATTCATAAGGGTGGACTCGTGTATGCTGAGCACAGTGTATAGAAGCCACATCAGGTGTGGCCCCCAGAGCCCTAGTGTAGGGATCTATGTACACACACTGCAGGGGGAGTCATTCCAGGAAGAGGGGTGTGGCTCCAAGTGTCAGGAGTATATAAAGGGGCACTCCCCCCTGATGACATTACTGCAGATGGAGGCTCTGAACTCCTCCATGGCCCTCAGTGTTGGGGGGAGGTATACAGACATGTATCGGGGTGGCCCCCAGGAACCGAAAAGATGGATGTTGGGGGGACACATTTAGGGGTGTGGCTCCAGGGATGGATGTTGGGAGAGGGAGGTGTACACACATTTAGGGGTGTGGCCTCAGGGATGGATGTTGGGGGTACATACATTTTAGGGGTGTGGACCCAGGGATGGATGGGGGAGGTGTACACACATTTAGGGGTGTGGCACCAGGGATGGATGTTGGGGGGTACACACATTTAGGGGTGTGGCCTCAGTGATGGATGGGAGAGGTGTACACACATTTAGGGGTGTGGCCCCAGGGATGGATGGGGGAGGTGTACACACATTTAGGGGTGTGGCCCCAGGGATGGATGTTGGGGGTACACGCATTTAGGGGTGTGGCCCCAGTGATGGATGTTAGGGGGTGGCACACACACATTTAGGGGTGCGGCCCCAGTGATGGATGGGAGGGGTGTACACACATTTAGGGGTGCGGCCCCAGTGATGGATGGGGGGGGTACACACATTTAGGGGGCGGCCCCAGTGATGGATGGGAAGGGTGTACACACATTTAGGGGTGCGGCCCCAGTGATGGATGGGGGGGGGTGTACACACATTTAGGGGTGCGGCCCCAGTGATGGATGGGGGGGTGTACACACATTTAGGGGTGCGGCCCCAGTGATGGATGGGGGGGTGTACACACATTTAGGGGTGCGGCCCCAGTGATGGATGGGGGGGGTGTACACACATTTAGGGGTGCGGCCCCAGTGATGGATGGGGGGGGTGTACACACATTTAGGGGTGCGGCCCCAGTGATGGATGGGGGGGTGTACACACATTTAGGGGTGCGGCCCCAGTGATGGATGGGGGAGTGTACACACAGTTATGGGTGTGGCCCCAGTGATGGATGGGGGGGTGTACACACATTTAGGGGTGTGGCCCCAGTGATGGATGGGGGGGTGTACACACATTTAGGGGTGTGTGGCCCCAGTGATGGATGGGGGAGGTGTACACACATTTAGGTGTGTGGCCCCAGTGATGGATGGGGGAGGTGTACACACATTTAGGGGTGTGGCCCCAGTGATGGATGGGGGAGGTGTACACACATTTAGGGGGTGTGGCCCCAGCGATGGATGGGGGAGGTGTACACACATTTAGGGGTGTGGCCCCAGTGATGAGGGGTGGTATACACACATTTAGGGGTGTGGCCCCAGTGATGGATGGGGGAGGTGTACACACGTTTAGGGGTGTGGCCCCAGTGATGGATGGGGGAGGTGTACACACATTTAGGGGTGTGGCCCCAGTGATGGATGGGGGAGGTGTACACACATTTAGGGGTGTGGCCCCAGTGATGAGGGGTGGTATACATAGACCTATATGGGGTGTGGTCCCCAGGGGCCCAAGTGATGGATAGGGTGGGTCCCCAGTAGGGTGGCATGACTAAATACAAAAGTGTGTGGCCTTAGTGTTTGGGGCGGTATATATACACATTTAGGGGTGTGGCCCCAGTGATGGGTGGGTGGTGTATACACATTTATGGGTGTGGCCCCAGTATTGGGGGGCAATACCTAGACATATAGGGGTGTGGCCCCAGTGATAGATGGGGGGTGGTACACATTTGGGGGTGTTACCCACAGTACTGGGGGGCAGAATCTTGACATATATGAGGTGTGGCTGCCAGTGATGGATGTTGGGGTAAATACTTAGGGGCTGGGCCCCAGTGTTGGGGGGGGCATTACCCACCCAGTGTTGGGGGGGGCATTACACACATTTAGGGGTGGGGACCCAGTGTTGGGGGGGCGGTACACACATTTAGGGGCCAGTGTTGGGGGGCGGTACACACATTTAGGGGCGGGGCCCCAGTGGTTGGGGGGCGGTACACACATTTAGGGGTGGGGACCCAGTGGTGGGGGGGGCGGTACACACATTTAGGGGCGGGGAACCAGTGGTGGTGGGGGGACACCAGGGGTGGAACCAGTGGTGGGGGCGGTACACACATTTAGGGGGGCGGGGAACCAGTGGTGGTGGGCGGTACACACATTTAGGGGCGGGGACCCAGTGGTGGGGGGGCGGTACACACATTTTAGGGGCGGGGACCAGTGGTGGGGGGCGGTACACACATTTAGGGGTGGGGAACCAGTGGTGGGGGGGGCGGTACACACATTTAGGGGTGGGGACCCAGTGGTGGGGGGGGGCGGTACACACATTTAGGGGTGGGGGTGGGGGGGGGACCCAGCGACCCAGTGTTGGGGGGCGGTACACACATTTAGGGGTGGGGACCCAGTGGTGGGGGGCGGTACACACATTTAGGGGTGGGGACCCAGTGGTGGGGGGGGCGGTACACACATTTAGGGGCGGGGACCCAGTGTGGGGGGGCGGTACACACATTTTAGGGGCGGGGACCCAGTGTTGGGGGGGCGGTACACACATTTAGGGGTGGGGACCCAGTGGTGGGGGGGGCGGTACACACATTTAGGGGTGGGGACCCAGTGTTGGGGGGCGGTACACACATTTAGGGGTGGGGACCCAGTGTTGGGGGGCGGTACACACATTTAGGGGTGGGGACCCAGTGGTGGGGGGGCGGTACACACATTTAGGGGTGGGGACCCAGTGGGGGCGGTACACACATTTAGGGGGGCGGTACACACATTTAGGGGCAGGGCCCCAGTGGTGGGGGGGCGGTACACACTTAGGGGCGTGTCGCCGGTATTAGGGGGCGGTATCCACAGGCACAGACAGGGGTGTGGCCCCCAGGGGCCCCCCAGGCTCACCCTTGATGACGTTGCTGTAGATGGTGGCCCGGAACTCCTCCTTGGCCCGCAGGTCGAAGTCCTGGCCGTGGATGATCCTCATCTGTTTGAGGAAGGTACTCTTGCCGCTCTCCCCCCGGCCCCGAGGAGGAGGATCTTCACCAGCCGCTTGACATACGTCTTCTCCCGGGAGATGAGCCGGTCGATGTCTTTGGACTTCCTCTGTTGTTCGGCCTCCCGGCTGTTCAGCACACAGTTCGGGAAACAGACGGACAGCACGGAGCGGGACGGCAGGAAGTCCGCCATCTTCCTCTCTACCGAGCCCAGGGAGGAGGCTGTGTGCGTGCGTGCGCGACCCCGACCACAGAAGAGCGCGCCGCCCCGCCCGGCACGTCCAGAAGCGATGAGAAGAAACTGTCCGCGTCCGGCGCCATCTTCTTGGAGACCACACTCCGGTCACTGTAATGGAGCTGACCACTCCAAAATGGCCGCCGCCTGGAGACACGGAGCACGGCGTGATGGGCGTATGAGGCTCTGATGTCACCAGGCTATAAAACCAAGTGAAAGGAAGCCAAGAGGCCTGAGGGGAATGGCGGCCTGGGGGCTTCTACAAATAGACCCTGTATATAAGTGATACTCAGGGGTCACGGGCCCTTGTATAACATAACCCCCCTCACAGAAGTGATACTCAGGGGCCACAGGTCCTTTTATAACATAAACCCCCTCACAGAAGAGATACTCAGGGGCCACAGGTCCTTTTATAACATAAACCCCCTCACAGAAGTGATACTCAGGGGCCACAGGCCCTTTTATAACATAAACCCCCTCACAGAAGTGATACTCAGGGGCCACAGGCCCTTTTATAATATAAACCCCCTCACAGAAGGGATACGCAGGGGCCACGGGCCCTTTTATAACACAAACCCTCTCACAGAAGGGATATTTATGGACCATGGGCCCTTTTATAAGACAAACCCCCTCACAGAAGTGATACTCCGGGGCCCTGGGCCCTTTTATAACACAAACCCTCTCACAGAAGTGATATTTATGGACCATGGGCCCTTTTATAAGACAAACCCCCTCACAGAAGGGATACGCAGGGGCCACGGGCCCTTTTATAACACAAACCCCCTCACAGAAGTGATACTCAGGGGCCACGGGCCCTTTTATAACACAAACCCTCTCACAGAAGGGATATACAGGGACTGTATGTATTTTCAATAAGAAGGTTGGAGGGTGGATCGTTTGTGTGGGGAGCCTTCAGACATCGCTGGCGAGCCACCATTGGGCGTTGGCCTATGCCAGTGAATGTCTGCAGAAGCTTCCTCCTCCAAAGTCACCCATGAAAAGAGTGAAGTTTGATAGACGGGGAGGAGGATGAAAGCTTCCAACATCTAGATGCCTTTCTAGAGCCCCAGCAGGAAATTAAAGTGTTCGGCGTCAGTTGTAGTCCTGGGAACTATGGTCAGATCATTTGGGAAACCAAGCTGGAGAAGGCCACTTCCAAGGTGGTGAGCTGAAAACTAATGGAGCCAGGCGAGGCAAACTCCTGGCTCACGTTGCTCTGTGCTTTGATGATGGCACGAGATATCAGGTCCCTTCCAAGGAATCTCCTGGCAAAGGGGAATTTAGGTACTGCTTTCAGCAAGCCCTGGCGTAGGCATTCCTAGATTTGTAGCACTACCCCCTTAAGGGTCACTGAAGTTTGGATCCCCCTATAGTCCTGCACAGCCAGGCAACATGCATTTTCTTCACTCAGACTGGCATCAGGAGACAGTAACCAGTCCTTGCACTTTGCTTTTAAGTTTTATTAGGGGGTTGAACTTGGATGGGATAAGGGGTGTATGGGATGCCCATGGGTGATGGTAAAAGAGGACAAAGCTCCTTAGCAGCTATGTACAAGTCTTTACAGCAAACATTCTTCTGGAGAGCTGGTCAGCATCTCCTGTTGTACCACCCCAGACCCCAGATGAATCCTCTCCTTATCCAGCTGTACTGCGTGAATCACTGGACAAGGGATCTAGTGCCTGTCATACAAGAGAGTCCCGGGTAGCAACCAATCCAGTTTCCTTGCAGAGTGCCCCTTCCCCTTACTGGCCCAGGGGGTGCAAGTCTTCTCACTCATTCCTTCTCCTGTGCTACTGATGGGTCGGTGGCTGCTTACAGGCCTTCTGCTGGCCAGCTCCTTCCCTTGCTGCATAGGTGGTCCTCATTCTGGAGACAGTGAAGTCCTGAGCTTTCCTCCTTCCAAGCTTCCCTGCACCTTCCCATCTGGGCTCCCTCCCAGGCTCCTGCTGTTCAGCCTCACTTCCTCTCTATCTCTTCCTCTCCTCCTGCTGAGCAGGCTCTGCCACTTTTAAGGGCTGCCCTGGCCTCATGCCAAGCCTCCTGTTGGGGATTGGCCAGGATCCCTCAAAAGTGCAGACTAGCCACTCCTTACCTCTGCCCACTGCTTCTAGAACTTTCTTCTAGTTCAGGGGGAAGTCTCAGAGAGCCAGTTTGCAGAGTCTCTCAGCTCTGACCAAAATTTGACCCCTCTGACTGTTGCCCCCAGGCTGCTACTCAGCCTTTGACTAACAATGAGAACTTTAGCTCCCCCTGGCTACCTAAGAGTCTGCTACAACTAGATAACTGGCTGCCCTAGTTGGTAGGGAAGGGTTCATGCAAGTTCCCACACTTTTCTGAGCTCTGCCTCTCTCCCTGTGCTGTAAAAGGGGGGAGGGCGCTGCCCAGACAAAGTCTGCTACAAGGGAAGAGGACACAGACAGACCTCCAAGGTGTAATCTCCAGATGCTCACAGAGAGCTGATTCTACCAGGGGGCTCCCTTTCTGGGAAGCCTTCTGCTGAACACTGCCACTACCACCATGTAGGGGGACTCTGAAGATACCAGCATCATGGACTTTGCCATACATGGACTCTTCCTGTGCAGGTATGCTGGGGCAGCAAAAGTCTTAGGGTTTTAAAGAGTGAAAGACTGCCTGTTGTGCTGACGTTTCTGAAGTAAAGCATTTAAACTGCCATGCCTGCTCTGAAGTTAATTAAAGGGGGGACCCCATTCTGTCACTGGGAGTTAACTGGAGTCCAGTTTATTAGTTGAAGTGTACACGGTGTACGGCCATCAAGTTGGAGGTCCGCCTTAAGGTTGAATTATCCCTGAAAGTGGCCTCCGCCTGTTCCGGGGTATTGATGAGCATGACACAAGTAAAGGCACCCCATGTTCAAGGCGAGTGACCCATCCTCAGTGGCTAGCGTAGTCCAGAAGAATCCACCCCAGGGTAGGCCTCCTCTGTTACCCACAAATGGTCTTGAGGTGTTGCCCAGGCTCTGGTGAGAGGGAGGGGGTTATGTATAGTGGATTTGGGGAGAATCCCTGTGATGTTTCGGCATCTAGCCTTGCTCACCTTCCATGGTAGGCCCTTTGTGAGGGGGGAAAGCATCACCTGTGGGTGGCTGGGATTGTCCTGCAGTGGAATGTGTTGCTGTGGTGGAGTCCATGGACTATTTATTGCTTCAATGCCCCTTTATCAGATGAAAGGTTGGGTATCCATATTCTTTATTGCATGAATTATGCGGAGTGGGTGGAAAAGGCGCTGCGATTTGAACTTGGAGACACCTTTTTTATTTAATATAGTTATTCACTATTTTATGTGAATTGCACTGACAGAATTTCTTCTGGCAGAAGGTCCTCCCTTGTGGAGTTGTGATAGCTCATCATTCTGGGAAAGGTTGGGAAGATCCGGGATCTGGAGAGGAGCAGCAAGCCTTAGGGGCGGTCTGGACAAGGTGTGAAGGACTATCGTATCTTCCTCTGATGAACGGTCCATCTCTAGGTGAATGCCTTGTTATGCTCTTCTCTTCTCTCTCTCCTAACCTTGCAATTGGGATGTTTGATATATTTGTGGGTTTTGGTTCATTCCTCCGTGATAACATGGGTTGGTCTACAGTATGTGATCTCGTTTGCCATAAACCCACTTGTGTTTGTTTAGGGAAGAATTTGCTGTATTTTTTTTCTTTTTACTTAAATATGTATATATTCACTTATTCATTCATTTAGGTTTCTTATGTTTCTATATGCCTTTTTCTTGAAAGAATTTTAATAAAAGAAAAATGAGTGATGACCTACTTATGTGGGTCCCAGGGGGTCTCTTTCCATCCATTGTGTTGGTGGTTAGTGATGATCTATATACACTATATTGCCTGCAGTATTCGGACGCTGGCCTTTCCACGCACATGACCTTTAATGGCCCCCCAGTCTTAGTCCGTAGGGTTCAATATTGAGTTGGCCCCGCCCTTTCCACCACATGAACCTTTAATGCCCCCCCAGTCTTAGTCTGTAGGGTTCAATATTGAGTTGGCCCCGCCCCTTTCCACGCACATGAACTTTAATGGCCCCCCAGTCTTAGTCTGTAGGGTTCAATATTGAGATGGCCCCGCCCTTTCCACCACATGACCTTTAATGGCCCCCCAGTCTTAGTCCGTAGGGTTCAATATTGAGTTGGCCCCGCCCTTTCCACGCACATGAACTTTAATGGCCCCCCAGTCTTAGTCCGTAGGGTTCAATATTGAGTTGGCCCCGCCCTTTCCACCACATGACCTTTAATGGCCCCCCAGTCTTAGTCCGTAGGGTTCAATATTGAGATGGCCCCGCCCCCCTTTCCACCACATGACCTTTAATGGCCCCCCAGTCTTAGTCCGTAGGGTTCAATATTGAGTTGGCCCGCCCTTTCCACGCACATGAACTTTAATGGCCCCCCAGTCTTAGTCCGTAGGGTTCAATATTGAGTTGGCCCCACCCTTTCCACCACATGACCTTTAATGGCCCCCCAGTCTTAGTCCGTAGGGTTCAATATTGAGTTGGCCCCGCCCTTTCCACCACATGACCTTTAATGCCCCCCAGTCTTAGTCTGTAGGGTTCAATATTGAGTTGGCCCCCGCCCTTTCCACGCACATGAACTTTAATGGCCCCCCAGTCTTAGTCTGTAGGGTTCAATATTGAGATGGCCCCGCCCTTTCCACCACATGACCTTTAATGGCCCCCCCCAGTCTTAGTCCGTAGGGTTCAATATTGAGTTGGCCCCGCCCTTTCCACGCACATGAACTTTAATGGCCCCCCAGTCTTAGTCCGTAGGGTTCAATATTGAGTTGGCCCCGCACCTTTCCACCACATGACCTTTAATGGCCCCCCAGTCTTAGTCCGTAGGGTTCAATATTGAGATGGCCCCGCCCTTTCCACCACATGACCTTTAATGGCCCCCCAGTCTTAGTCCGTAGGGTTCAATATTGAGTTGGCCCGCCCTTTCCACGCACATGAACTTTAATGGCCCCCCAGTCTTAGTCCGTAGGGTTCAATATTGAGTTGGATTCCCCCACCCTTTCCACCACATGACCTTTAAATGGCCCCCCAGTCTTAGTCCGTAGGGTTCAATATTGAGTTGGCCCCGCCCTTTCCACCACATGACCTTTAATGGCCCCCCAGTCTTAGTCTGTAGGGTTCAATATTGAGATGGCCCCGCCCTTTCCACCACATGATCTTTAATGGCCACCCCAGTCTTAGTCCCGTAGGGTTCAATATTGAGTTGGCCCCGCCCTTTCCACACACATGACCTTTAATGCCCCCCCAGTCTTAGTCTGTAGGGTTCAATATTGAGCCCTTTGCAGCTATAACAGCTTCAACTCTTCTGGGAAGGCCGTCCACAAGGTTTAGGAGGGTGTCCTATGGGAAGGTTGGACCATTCTTCCAGAAGCACATTTGTCAGGTCAGGCACTGATGTCGGGGGAGGGGGCCCTGGCTCGCAGTCTCCGCTCTCATTCATCCCAAAGGTGTTTCTATGGGGTTGAGGTCAGGACTCTGTGCAGGACAGTCAAGTTCCTTCCTCCACCCCAAACTGGCTCCTCCATGTCTTTATGGACCTTGCTTTGTGCACTGGGGGGCAGTCATGTTGGAACAGGAAGGGGCCATCCCCAAACTCTTCCCACAAAGGTGGGAGCATGAAAATTGTCCAAAATGTCACCTTAGAAGTTCCCTTCACTGGAACTAGGGGGCCAAGTCCAACCCCTGAAAAACACCCCCACACCATAATCCCCCTCCACCAAACATTACACTTGGCACAATGCGGTCAGGCAAGTACCGTTCTCCTGGCCACCGCCAAACCCAGACATGTCCATCGGATTGCCAGACAGAGAAGCGTGATTGGTCACTCCAGAGAACACTCCTCCACTGCTCTAGAGTCCAGTGGCGGCGTGCTTTTACACCACGGCATCCGACGCTTTGCATTGCACTTGTGATGGAAGGCTTGGATGCAGCTGCTCGGCCATGGAAACCCATTCCATGAAGCTCTCTACGCACTTTTGTTGGGCTCATCTGAAGGCCACACCAAGTTTGGAGGTCTTTAGCTATTGACTCTGCAGACAGTTGGCGACTTCTGCGCACTGTGCGCTTCAGCATGCGCTGACCCCGAATCCCTGTCATGTGACGTGGCCTACCACTTGGTGGCATGAGTGTGGCTGTTGTTCCCAGTGGCTTCCACTTTGTTATAATCCCACTAACAGTTGAGCGTGGAAAATTTAGTAGCCAGGAAATGTCACAGATGGACTTATTGCCCAGGTGGCCACCTATCACGGGACCACGCTTGGAGTCACTGAGCTCCTGAGAGCGACCCATTCTTTCACCAAATGTTTTGTAGAAGCCGTCTGCATGCCTAGGGGCTGGATTGTATACACCTGTGTCCATGGAGGGGATTGGAACACCTGAATCACATGATATGGAGGGGATTGGAGCACCTGAATCACATGATATGGAGGGGATTGGAACACCTGAATCACATGATATGGAGGGGATTGGAGCACCTGAATCACATGATTGGGGGGGATTGGAACACCTGAATCACATGATATGGAGGGGGATTGGAGCACCTGAATCACATGATATGGAGGGGGATTGGAACACCTGAATCACATGATATGGAGGGGATTGGAGCACCTGAATCACATGATTGGGGGGGGATTGGAACACCTGAATCACATGATATGGAGGGGATTGGAGCACCTGAATCACATGATATGGAGGGGATTGGAACACCTGAATCACATGATATGGAGGGGATTGGAGCACCTGAATCACATGATTGGGGGGGATTGGAACACCTGAATCACATGATATGGAGGGGGGATTGTGAGCACCTGAATCACATGATTGGGAGGGGATTGGACACCTGAATCACATGATATGGGGGGGGTTGGAGCACCTGAATCACATGATATGGAGGGGAATGGGAACACCTGAATCACATGATATGGAGGGGATTGGAACACCTGAATCACATGATATGGAGGGGATTGGAACACCTGAATCACATGATATAGAGGGGGATTGGAACACCTAAATCACATGATATAGAGGGGATTGGAACACCTAAATCACATGATATAGAGGGGATTGGAACACCTAAATCACATGGATATAGAGGGGATTGGAACACCTTAAATCACATGATATAGAGGGGTGGGCCAATACTTTGTGCACAATATAGTGTATATGGAACCCAGGGGGTCTTGCTTCCATCCATTGTGGTGTATTGATTGATGGAGTCCAGAGTCTCCTAGTGGACTGTGTCTCATGATTTTCCCAACCATTTGGGAATCTCCTCTTCATTCCATCCTGGTTTTGCACACAGATGACAGAAGGACATATACTGACCAATGAAATGACCCGCAGATCTGATTGTGCCATTATCATACAATGGGGGTGACTTCCCAGAGATAAGGGCAGTGTGAGTAGGCCTGAGATAAGGGTCCTGTTGCCAGGGACCTGAGTGCCTTGGGGGGTGTATGGACACTGGATCGGAGTGCCATGTGGGGGGGGTTGTATGGACACCGGATCGGAGTGCCATGTGGGGGGTGTATGGACACTGGAGCGGGAGTGCCATGTGGGGGGGGTGTATGGACACCGGATCGGAGTGCCATGTGGGGGGGTTGTATGGACACCGGATCGGAGTGCCATGTGGGGGGTGTATGGACACCGGAGTGCCATGTGGGGGGGGGTGTATGAACACCGGATCGGAGTGCCATGTGGGGGGTTGTATGAACACCGGATCGGAGTGCCATGTGGGGGGGGTATGAACACCGGATCGGAGTGCCATGTGGGGGGGGGGGGGGGGTAATGAACACACCGGATCGGAGTGCCATGTGGGGGGGTTGTATGGACACCGGAATCGGAGTGCCATGTGGGGGGGGTATGAACACCGGATCGGAGTGCCATGTGTGGGGGGGGTAATGAACACCGGATCGGAGTGCCATGTGGGGGGGGGGTATGAACACCGGATCGGAGTGCCATGTGGGGGGGGGGGGTATGAACACGGAACGGAGTGCCATGTGGGGGGGGGGGTATGAACACCAGTGCATGTGGGGGGGGATGAACACCGGAGTGCCATGTGGGGGGGGGTATGAACACCGGATCGGATATTAAGAGTGCCATGTGGGGGGGGGTATGAACACCGGATCAGAGTGCCATGTGGGGGGGGTATGAACACCGGACCTGAGTGCCTTGGGGGGGTTGTATGGACACTGGAACGGAGTGCCATGAAAACACCGATCGGAGTGGGGGGGGGGGGTATGAACACCGGATCGGAGTGCCATGTGGGGGGGGTGTATGAACACCGGATCGGAGTGCCATGTGGGGGGGGGTGTATGGACACCTGGATCGGAGTGCCATGTGGGGGGGGTATGAACACCGGACGGAGTGCCATGTGGGGGGGGGGTATGAACACCGGATCGGAGTGCCGTGGGGGGGGGGTATGAACACCGGATCGGAGTGCCATGTGGGGGGGGGGTATGAACACCGGATCGGAGTGCCATGTGGGGGGGGGGTATGAACACCGGATCGGAGTGCCATGTGGGGGGGGGTATGAACACCGGATCGGAGTGCCATGTGGGGGGGGGTATGAACACCGGATCAGAGTGCCATGTGGGGGGGGGGGGTATGAACACCGGATCAGAGTGCCATGTGGGGGGGGGTATGAACACCGGTCGGAGTGATATTAGTGCCATGTGGGGGGGGTTGTATGAACACCGGACGGGAGTGCCATGTGGGGGGGGGGGGGTATGAACACCGGATCGGAGTGCCATGTGGGGGGGTATGAACACCGGATCGGAGTGCCATGTGGGGGGGGGTATGGAACACCGGATCGGAGTGCCATGTGGGGGGGGGTAATGAAACACCGGATCGGAGTGCCATGTGGGGGGGGTATGAACACCCGGATCGGAGTGCCATGTGGGGGGGGGGGGTATGAACACCGGATCGGGAGTGCCATGTGGGGGGGGGTATGAACACCGGATCGGAGTCGGAGTGCCATGTGGGGGGGGGGCCCGGATTCGGAGTGCCATGTGGGGGGGGGGTATGAACACCGGATCGGAGTGCCATGTGGGGGGGGGGTATGAACACCGGATCGGAGTGCCATGTGGGGGGGGGGTATGAACACCGGATCGGAGTGCCATGGGGGGGGGGGGTATGAACACCGGATCGGAGTGCCATGTGGGGGGGGGTATGAACACCGGATCGGAGTGCCATGTGGGGGGGGGGTATGAACACCGGATCGGAGTGCCATGTGCATGTGGGGGGGGGGGGGTATGAACACCGGATTCGCTGGAGTGCCATGTGGGGGGGGGTATGAACACCGGATCGGAGTGCCATGTGGGGGGGGTATGAACACCGGTTCGGAGTGCCATGGGGGGGGGGTATGAACACGGAGTGCCATGGTGGGGGGGGGGTATGGAGTGCCAGTGGGGGGGGGGGGTATGAACACCGGACAGTGCCGATGTGCCATGGGGGGGGGGTATGAACACCGGTTCGGAGTGCCATGTGGGGGGGGTATGACACCGGTTCGGAGTGCCATGTGGGGGGGTATGAAACACCGGTTCGGAGTGCCTGTGGGGGGGGGAGTGAAACACCGGATCGGAGTGCCATGTGGGGGGGGTATGAACACATGGGGGGGGGGTATGAACACCGGTTCGGAGTGCCATGTGGGGGGGGTATGAACACCGGTTCGGAGTGCCATGTGGGGGGGGGGGGTATGAACACCGGTTCGGAGTGCCACGATGGGGGGGGGTTATGAACACCGGTTCGGAGTGAGTGTATGAACACCGGGTTCGGAGGGGGGGGGTATGAACACCGGTTCGGAGTGCCATGTGGGGGGGTATGAACACCGGTTCGGAGTGCCACGTGGGGGGGGGGTATGAACACCGGTTCGGAGTGCCACGTGGGGGGGGGGTATGAACACCGGATCGGAGTGCCATGTAGGGGGGGGGGGGTATGAACACCGGTTCGGAGTGCCATGTGGGGGGGGTATGAACACCGGTTCGGAGTCCAGGCCCGCACACATCTCCCTGTTGCTGTATATTGGAGGAAATGGGAATCTGTGTACACAGGGAGGACGTCGGATCATCTGCAGCTGTCACCCCCCCAATGGGAGGAGCCTGCCATGGGGAGGGTGGTGGTCTATTTAAGGGGACCTGTCATGAGGCTGCCATCGCTGACAGCTCCTGAAAATGCCAGGTGCCTGGCTGTCTTGTCTTCAGGATTTTCAGTCCCTGGCCTGGGACAAGCATGCAGCGATGGAAGGTCCTCAGGCTGTAGGTCAGTGAAGCCGGAGGATCAGTATAACAGCCAGGGACGTTGGCTTCCTGTGCACTGAAGGTGATATACAAATGTTTTTATTTTGGAATAATATCCTTTTTTCATGTCAGTGCTGCTGATCTCCCGCAGCTTCTGTCCGCCACTTCCCATCTCCATGTACTCCAGCTACACATCATCTAACCTGGGACAATGGTGGACTCGGCCTGCGCATCGAGTGTATCCATCAAGGTGACAACACAGGAACAAAATGGGGAGACAAGGACAAAGCGTTGTCACCCGATACCAGGAAGTGCCTGGACAGGAACCTTGCGGTATGATTTCAATGAGTGTGGGCGGGGCTGCTGTGAGCTCATAGAAGGGGCGGGGCTGGAACTTGGGATTTCTCAGAGTCAGGGTGGGCCCTGGGGCCCAGTGGATCTGAGTAGCAGGCACATATCAGATTGCAGGGAATACATCTACAGATGGCGGAGGTCACAGAGGAGCCTTGAGAAATGGGCTTCTAGTTCATACCACGGCAGAGGGACCCCAAATCCCAGTGTGTGACCCCAGGAGATCTGTGTCTGGGAATGGACGTCATATATTCCCCTCCCCTGTCCTCACATGTGGTGGCTGCATTCGTTTTCTTATTTCTGGATTCTCACCTGGGCAGCACAGTGGATGAATGGTCAGCACAGTGGATGAATGGTCAGCACAGTGGCTGAGTGGTCAGCACAGTGGATGAATGGTCAGCACAGTGGCTGAGTGGTCAGCACAGTGGATGAATGGTCAGCACAGTGGATGAATGGTCAGCACAGTGGATGAGTGGTCAGCACAGTGGCTGAGTGGTCAGCAGTGGATGAATGGTCAGCACTTCCCCCTGGCAGTACTCGGGTTGTTGGTTGGAATCCCAACCACAGCACTACCTGCCTGGAGTTTGCATGTTGTCCCTGTGCCTGCGTAGGTTTCCTCCGGGTACTCCGGTTTCCTCCCACACTCCAGAGACATGCTGGTAGGTGGTTTGGCTCCTGTCTACATTGGCCCTAATATGTGTATGTATGGATGTGAGTTAGGGACGTTAGCTTGTACGCTCCTCGGGGGCGGGGCCTGATGGGAACGTATAATATACAAGTGAAGTGCTGCGTACAATTCACTGTGCTGTGTTGTACCTGTAAAAATATCTGTTGATCCTGCCAGAGACGCACGTCCTGTCCTAGGGTGACACACTGGCTGTACTGTGACTTTGAAGGAGCAGTGTTGTCACCCTAGGACAGGACTACAGAACAGGTGAACTCCGGCCACAAGGACTTTCATATCAATATAGTCATCAGGATAGAAAACCACTTTGTATGAAGCAAATGCCTTTACAAACCCAGAGTATTAGCTTGTAAAAGTAGCAGTGACATCATTACTGTGCTGTGCATAGCCTGTGCAGAGAACAGAGCTGTGGGAGGGGCCCAGCAAACTCCACCCACTTTGGGAAAGTACAGGAGGGGGTGGAGACAAGACCAGTCCCCCTGCACAAGGAGAGAGCAGAGCTATGGGAGGGGTCCATCAAGCTCCACCCATTGCAGAAAACTACAAGAGGGGGCGGAGACCAGACCCCCTGTACAAGGACCTATGGGAGGGGTCCAGCAGCTCCACCCACTGCAGAAAATACAGGAGTGGGTGGAGACCAGACCAGTTCTGCACAAGGTGAGAGCAGAGCTGTGGGAGGGGCTCGGCAGGTTCCACCCACTACAGAAACCTACAGGAGGGGGCGGAGAGAAGACCAGTCCCCCTGCACAAGGAAAGAGCAGAGCTATGGGAGGGGTCCAGTAGGCTCCACCCACTACAGAAACCTACA